TGTTCAGGAAGGAGTGTGGTGTCGACTGAGCCATTTGCCGGAGGTCAACAGCCGGGAAGTCAGAAACGCTAAGACTTGAACCCACATCTTTCTCCCGCTCTGAGGCACCCAGGGCAAGGCTCCCTGAGCGGGTGAGGGATGAAAATGGGTCCGTTCAAGAACTGTTGAAAGAAGAGTGAGTGTGTCACTTTAACAGAGAGGGGAGTAAATAGAAGCATGCGGTAGTCCCCAGATATTCACAAGGTGGTCCTTTGGAAGCTGCTGAGCCTGATCCCTAAAGCCCCACGGGGCGCAGCTAGGGCACTGGGGTGGAGGTGGTGGGAGCACTTCCTGTTTGCTGACCGCTTGCTGTAGGCTCCTCTCACTGTGTATCTTCACTCTGTAGCCCCAGGGGTGAGGTGCAGCCCTGTGATCATCCCTGATTCGCTGGCGAAGAACCACGGGGGTCGCCCACCAGTAAGCGACACAACCCGGGCCTAAAATCCGGGTCTGTCCCACACCAGGGCCAGCGTTTTCAACCATTTCCCTCCGCTCTATTCCTGGTGGTAGATTTCTCTCTCTCTCTGTCTTCTCTCTCTTTTTAAATTTTTTTTAACATTCATTTTTGAGAGAGAGACAGAGTGTGAGCAGGGGAGGGGCACCGAGAGAGAGGGAGACACAGAATCCGAAGCAGGCTCCAGGCTCCCAGCTGTCAGCACAGAGCTCGACACAGGGCTCGAACTCATGAACCACAAGATCATGACCTGAGCCGAAGTCAGACACTTAACCGACTGAGCCCCCCAGGCGCCCCAAGAGAGAATGTCAAGTAGACTCCACGCTCAGCATGGAGCTCAGTGGGGGATTTGATCTTGATCTGAGCCATTATCAAGAGTCGACACTAAGCTGCCCAGGCGTCCCACTGGTAGATTTCTGATCGATGTAAGTGAAAATTACCACGTGATGAAAGATGAGAATCTCCCACAAAGGGACTCTTCTGTCAGGGAGTGAAGTGCCCATTGCTGACACACCCTGAGTGGCAGGGACACTGACTTGGGGCCAGGCCTGAGCCACACAGGTGTCTTTCTAGGTTTGATTTTTCCCCCTGTGCTCTTAAGAGAAACCAGTTTACTTTAGATTAACAAAGAGACGGCGGTGTTGATGGTGGGTCTGGTGGTTCTTTATCACTCTGCCCACCTAAGCTCGGGGATAAGCTCCACGCCCAGTTTCTCCATAATACTTTGTATGTTTGGGTCCTTTACAATATGCTTATGGGCATAACAATCTGTAGAAAAGTTTATTGCAATGGCTTTAAAGTGTAACAGTTCCATTAGGTGAAAATTCTGATCCCATGCATATTTGAAAATAAAAAGAAATTCGAAGGGGGAACAAAACCTCACAACACCTTTGTAATCGTTATGATGCGTGTATTACAGTAGTATGTGAACCGCTCTGCTATCCTGCCCTTGATCATTATACTGAAAGTTGAGACAGTTGAGGTACTTTTTGGAAGCAGGATCAAAATCGTACCGGACTTAGAGATAAAGAAGCCGGAAAAGCTCTCTTTAGTCTCTTGAGCCCTCCCCTCCCCCACCCGCCCATCACAGTTCTTAAGAAAACCGAGGTAGGGAGAAATAAGGGTTCTTGGAACATGTTTCTAGATCCGGAATTCTGGACCCGGGGCGTTAAGTGGTGAATGAGATCGCATGGAAAACCTTCTGTCACACGACTGTGTTGGCGGACCCTTTGCTAAGCTCTAACTGGCTGACTTTTTCGTTAGCGAGGCGTTGTTATGTTTACAGCGACACATTAAGTTTCTGAGCCCAGACATAGCAAAACCATCTCCAGAGAGCTCCGGCCCACAGAGACTGCCTCCACGCACAGGCTGTCCTCATGTTTGCTGGAAAGGGGTTTTGTCCATCAAGGGAAAGGTAACCTCTGTGTCCTGCCGTCCCTAGCCACCTCCCCGGTCTCTCTGCCCTGTCGACACGCCTCTCCACTTTCATATTGCTCTCTCAGCTTTAGATCCACTTCTCTGCCTGTAGGGCATTCCATAATAATTAAAAACTCAGAGATGGAAGGAATTTTATGTAGGACGCAGCTGAACAGACCGACTTTCCTTCCAGCGGACAGGAAGTGAATAACCAGACAGACTACATCGTGGGTGCTCGTTAATGAGAGCATGCGCGCCTCCCTCCCTCCTCAGTGGGCATTAGGAACTTTCTATGAGCCAGTTTCCATGCTGGCCGTGGGGCCACCAAGATGTAGTCCTTTTCCCTTCAAGGAGCCCTGGCCTAAATAACATAGCATAACAGGTGTGCGGTGGTAATGGTGAGCTCAAGAGGGCTCAGCAGCTCAACGATATTTGGGAGGTCGGGGAGGGGGGGCGGTGGCAGGAAGACATCTCTGAACCAAGTCTTGAAGAATGCCAGGGGTGTCACGGCAGCGGCAATGGCGGGTCGGTGTACGGGACTAGTTCCAAAGGGCTCTGGAGAGAGATGAAAGCGGGAGGGTGGATACTCCATGCTGAGGAGACTGGAGTTCATTCTGACAGTAGTAGGAAGCCTTTGAGTGGTTTTTAGAGGGAAATAACCAGGTGTAGTTTTTTAAAAGTCCTGCTTAGCTAGCTATGAAGAGGATGGGTTGTCCGTAAGTGAGCTAGGAAGCAGAGAGAGACATGAGTGGCTTGCAAAACTCCAGGTAAGAAAGAAGGATCTGTGAACTTAAGGCAGTACCGTAGAGAAGAAGGAAATACATTTCCAAGCTGTGTGGAGGAGACGGGCTGCAAAGAACTTGGCCGTGAGCAACAGATGATAGAGAACAAGGCAGGGAGTCAAGGGTGTGGTGCAGGCTTCTGCTTGAGTGGCTCTGGTATTCCCCAACAAGATGGTGCCTGGGAGAAGGAAGGTATTGATTGCCGGAAGAATTACAAAGACGATGATTAATTCTTGGGGGGCATGATAAATTTGAGAAGCTTTAGAGATGTTCAAGAGAGAGGTCTGTGGCTCAGTTGGTTAAGCATCTGACTCATGACCTCAGCTCCGATCATGATCTCACGGTTCATGAGATCAAGCCCTACGTCGGGCTCTCTGCTGACGGTGAGGAACCTGCTTGGGATTCTCTCGCTCTGAAGTAAATAAAAGTTAAAAAAGAAGAGTAAGAAAAAGAGGGGATTTCTGGAAGGATTGCCAAGTGGGCCTGGGTTTCAGGAGGGAGGTGCTGAGTTACAGTAGTTGGCTGGCCCTTCCCTTTCTCGGGACCCTCGTTAAACAAACGTGGGCACATCTCATCTGTGCCTGTCACATTGGGTGGACATGCGCGATGTACTGACGTGACCTCTAGCAGAGCGAGCACAGGATTGTGCTCCCCAAGGTGAACTGGGGTTTCTTGCCAGGACTGTTCGCCTCTGTATCCACTTGGCTTCTGAACGTCCCTCCCATGTTTCCTGGGGTCCTTGGAGAGAATCTCAGTAAAAAGAGATCTGTTGAGAGACCATATCAGTAAGAAGTACAAAGAACTTTGCTCATCATTTCATCTTCCGGGTAATCTCACGAGGTGTTAAGAATGAGCAGGCCCATTTTGCAGATAAAACCTCTGGGGGTTACATGGCTTTTACCTGAGTAAGTGGGGAAGTTGTGGGCACGACTCTAAATCCCATTCTCCTTCCGCCAAGTATTCAGCCCTGACTTACAGCAGAACGGATCGGCCTGTTAAATCCTTGGGTGGCAGTTGTTACTGGGGAAGAGATGTCTTATGGATGTTGTGTGGCCCCGGAGGTGTCTGTCTGGAGCGATCCCCTCCTTGGATCGCCCCAAACCGGTGCCCCTGATGCACACCATCTACGTCCCTCCCCTGCCCATGCCGGCAGCGCAGGGACCTGGTGGACCGGGTGGCGCCCTGTCTCAGGCCCACTGTGGACTCAGCCATCACGGCCTTGCCTGTGACTGTCCCCAGGTCCCCCTTTGCCTCCACTCGGGCGCCCAGCAGCCAGAGAGATACTTCCGTTCAGAGCGTCAGGAAGTCAGTCCTCTGCTCAGAAGCCTCCAGTGGTTTCTCACCTCAGCTGGGGAGCAAGCTTTCCCTTCAGGGGCCCCCGTGTTCTGGCCTCTGACTGCTTGGATGACCCTGTCAGCACACCCCTCCACTTGAGCCACCCTTTGGCCTTTGGCCATTCCCCGAATGCTTCTAGCACCTTCTGAATGCCGCTGGGCATTCATATTTGCTGTTCCCGCTTCCTGCAGTGCATTTGGCTCGACGGTTCCCTCACACTCAGGCCCCTGGCTCTCCGTGAAGCCTTCCTGCTGGCCATGCGGTCTCCCCGCCTAAAACACCAGCCCCCCACCACGCTCTGTCCCTTGCTCCTCCTATTTTTCCTCAGAGCGCCAGGTTTCTGTTTCGTTATGGAAAGCTGCCCGTGAGCTCTGACAATGAAGGGGCCTTCTGTGTCCTGCCGCCTTTATGGATCCAGGCTGGGATAGCACCTGGCCCACGGCGTGCACGCTGGAAGGGGTGGAGGAATGGCGGAGTGAACACACGGAGGCCATGGGCCTGCTGGTGAGGGGCGGCAGGTGAGGTCAGCAGCACTGAGGGACTTAACGATGATGACACAGAGCATCTTCATCTGTCCAGGCCTGGCCGGCACTGCCGGCTCCCAGAGTCTGCTTGTTGGGAGGTAACTGTGAACAGGTATCTGGAAATTGCGCCCGTTTCCATGGTTCAGATACAGGTTGATTGCTCTGATGAGAATGGCAACAATTTTTTTCCTTCTAACATACACGTTTACCAGCACGGATTTGCTGCCTGGGGACAGCGTGCGGTCCGTACCTACCCACGCCCGCTCGTCTGAATGTGGAGGTCACCCCAGGGTGTCAGTGTTGCTGGAGCCTCCAAAGTGTCGCCTGCATTGTGGCTCCCGTAGGAAGAAGTGAGCTCGGTCTTCAGCGTGTCCTTGAACACAAGTTCCCTTATTAGAGATTTGACCTTCACGCCGTCTTCAGTGCGTTTTTCTGTTGCTCTTTCTGTAGGATCTTCTACGTCTCCCATGATTCCCAAGACCTGAAGATCTTCAGCTATATCGCCCGCGACGGTGCCAGCAATATCTTCAGGTGTAACGTCTTTAAATCCAAGAAGAAGGTAAATGGGTAGCCATCGGTCATATTTTGTTTTCCTCTGATGGAACCAGAGTGGTCCGAAATGTTGGCCCGTCCACTGTTGAGAGGCAAGATTTGACATGGCCTTTTGCATGCACGACACGGGGGAGCCATCGAGCAGTCTGTCAGTGCTCCTGCGTAATGAGGTTCTCCTTTCGTTTTATCTGAGCTTTGTACTCAGTGACAGGGAGACGGCCGGAGAGAGCTCGACCGTTGGATGAGGGCTCCGGATGGGGACAGGTTGATAGAATGGGAGAGGTGCTCCCCTCGGTGTGCGGTGGGAAAGAAGCGTGGCCATTTATTTAAGTGACTTTTCATCCTAATTCTGTGTATCGATCAGGGGCCCCATAAATCACAACATGCGGGATCTAGTTGAGACTTTGTGTGCGAGGCTGGTTGTCCTGGGTGGTTACTTTGGTCTGGTAACCTTGATGCTTGAGTAAATGCAGCTTTGGCCATTCGGTAGATGCTTTTTTTCTGTCATTTCTCCAGGAATTTAACACACAAAACTGGTGTTGGAGACCAGGAGTTTAGTCCCCACTCTACTGGGTCTCAGCCTTCTTGTCTATAAAATAAGTAGGAGGAGACACAACCAGAGTTTCCTAAAATGCCTCCTGTAAAATATTTATCATCCAAAATGCTTTGTGTTAAAAATATCCCCTTTGAATCTGCCAGGAAGTCTTCAAGTTTGAGAAGGCCTTCGAACTCTGGTTAACCCAGCGTTTCTCAAACTGATTTGGCCACAGAATCATGTTTTTTTTCCATGGAATCTGTCTGATATCCTGGGAACTAGTTTCTCTACAGAAGAGATTTCAGAAAATGCTTTCTTTATGCCTCTAAGATTCTTCACAGGTCTGCTGTTCTGGACGCAAACCATGGAGCGTGGCTTTCTGTGGGGACAGTTTCCAAATCCATCCCCAAGTACGCTTTCTTTGATGCTGGATGGCATCTTCTACTATAAAACATCTTTACTAGATTCGTAGGTACCGTGTCAAGTGGGCACAGTAAGAATAGTACATGACAAGGTCGAGATTCACTAACGTGTGTCCTGTCTCCTACCCTGGCTCCACCCCGAAAATTCTACTTGGCTGATTAGCTTCTTCCTCTAAGGAAATTGGTGCCCTTGGCCACCTGTCCCCAGGCTTTTTAATGCAAATTATGGAATTTGGGTGGAAAGACCTAGAACTGGAAGAATGGAAAGAAAACACACAAGTTTCCAGGTTTCCCTTCTAGATAACCGTATGGTGGAGCAGAAAGTGTGTAAATGGGGCTAAGGTGAGCGGCCTGTGGAAGAACTGATGGGAAGAGGAGGCGGGTGAGGGAGAAAATGAAAAGCCAGAGGGGCTGCAGACGGGCCTATAGGGCTTGGGACAGTGAGCAGCCCTTCTGCAGCTGTGAGGTGGTCTGGGAGATGCAGTGTGTTGCCAGAACTTACGCATCGGATCAACTGTAATGTTCTTTGACAGGTGCAGCTAAGGACTAGAATCCCCGTTTAATTCATTCCAAGTGCCCAGCTGTACATCTGACCGCAGCTCAGTCCAGAGACTGGAGCACGTGGACCTTGGAATTTATTAGAGATACAAATGGCACATTGTAATTGTCTAAGCGCTTTCATATCTAATCTTACTTGATCCTTATAAAATCTCTGCGAAGAAGTTAAGACAGGTACTTTTCACCCCCGATTTCACAGATGAGTAAATTGAAGCTCAGAGAGAGTAGGCGACTTGCCCACGGTCCCGTGAAGAGGCACTGGCTAGAGGCAGGGAGAGACGTGCAGAAAAGCATGAGGGTTGAGCAGACGACCTAGGTAAGGGCTATCGTTATATTTGCTTTGCCGTCAGAGCTAGCGTAACAGTGCAAACGCCTCGGGGTCGCCCCGTCCTTCTGCCACAACCCAGTCTGAGAGCAGTGCCCACAGGAACTTTGACCGTGAAATATGGCACAGGATTAAGTTCTTACTACCCAGCCACCAGGGAGTGGTCACCCGGCTCCCTGTCTGTTCGGCTGTTTCCGTGTCTCCTAGCCCTTGGAGCTAATTCTCATCTCCAGCTCTTCCATTTTCCATGTCCTGTTTGCTGCCCCCTACGGAGCCTGTAACTCTTGGTAGAGTGGATTCTCAGGCCCTATGCTGGCCGTCAGCCATGCCACTGAAAGAAGGGTTTCCAGACAGCTTGGCCTGTGAACCCCTCTGCCGCCAAACTCTCAGTGGAAGGGCCAGCTTCCCAGCTGGTGGGGAGGGTGGAGAACACGCCTGCAACGTTTTGCACCCTTGTCCTGGGTCGCCTCTGGAGATGGTGACGCACTGCTTTGTAAAGCACTTTTGGTCTAGGGAGAGCATAGTTCACTTGGCGAGTCGTAGGAATACTCAGGGAGGGAGGGAGGGGACGACTGTATACCCTGAGGAAATGTGTGGCAGGGATGTTTCTGGATTGTCCGGGGTCAACAGGGAGGCCTCTGGACTTGCGACTGGCAGACCTGGATGTTCTCGTGTTGATCGTAGTATAGAAAAACCTGAGATAAGCTCCATGCTCTGTCAGGGCTTGGGTACTGCTGTTTCGGATCAGCCATGGCCCCTGTGTGTGTGTCCATGGCACGCTCCTGTGACAGGCTCCCAATGTGGTTGTCGTAGTTGACTCCAGGGAGCAGGATTACCTCTTCTGTCGTTTGAGAATATGGGTCTGGTGTCTCCGCTCTCCTGGTGGAGCCCCACCCCCACCCCATGCCTCCCTCTGGTCATGGTTCTGTATCTGCAGATCTTCACCGGGGTTGCTCACGCATAGAGCCGGCCCGCTTCCCCTTCCGGGCTTTCGTCACAAGCTACATAGCAAAAGGTTACAGGGAGGTAACCTACCACCTGCTTGTTAGTCATCTGGTTCTCCAGGTTACCCAGGTTCTAGCTTTCTATGAAGTCAAGCCTTATAAGAAGTCATCTAGTTTGGTTACCTGCTATGTGGCTATGACTTTTTTTTTTAACTCTTTTAAATGTTTGTTTATTTTTGAGAGAGAGAGAGAGAGAGACAGAGCAGGGGAGGGGCAGAGAAAGAGGGAGACACAGAATCCAAAGCTGTCAGCACAGAGCCCAACACAGGGCTCAAACCCATGAACCCTGAGATCACGACCTGAGCCGAAGTCGGACGCTCAACACCTGAGCCCCCCGGGCACCCCTGTGCCTGTGACTCTATGTGAGTTATCTAATTTCATTCCTATGGTTGGTATGTAAAGATAGGTACTTGTTGGGGCGCCTAGGTGTCTCAGTCGGTTAAGCGTCCGACTTCAGCTCAGGTCATGATCTTGTGGTTTGTGGGTTCGAGCTCCGTGTCAGGTTCTGTGCTGACAGCTCGGACCCTGGAGCCTGTTTCAGATCCTGTGTCTCCCTCTCTCTCTGCCCCTCCCCCGCTCATGCTCTGTGTCTCTCTGTCTCAAAAATAAACTATAAAAAATTAAAAAAAAAAAAGTACTTGTTCTGGGAAAATAGAAGCTTAAGGGACATAAGTCACAGTAAGTAGAACTGAACCCAGAGAGTCTGACTCTGGAGTCCACATACCATTCTCCATCAGGAAGTTGCATGACAAGGAATAGCCTCGCTCCCCAGTACCTATTTGTAACAAGGACCCACTGCACTTGTCACGCGGGTGTGAAGAGCTCCTTCACTCTGAAGGACCCACGTCACTTTGACCTAGGTCTTCTCTCACTATCTGTGGTCAGCATTGACTCCGCTTGTAGAGTTGAAGGAGAGGGTCCAGGGAAGAAGGTTGCCGTGCGTCACCCAGCGAGTCAACAGTGCCACTGAGATTAGAACCGTGCCCACAGTTTTGGCCGCCACACTCTGTTACGTGAACCTCATATAAGGAACATGAGCCTTTGGACTTGAGCGTTTCCAGCCATCAAGTCAGATGAAAGGATGAAAGGCATCTCAGGAATGCAGGTTGTCACGTGTGAGGCGACCTGGTCTCCAGAACAAGTCCTGCGTGAACACGAAGGATCGCCAGGACTGTTGTTCCGTGTCTGTGCAGGGGCGACCGCCCCAGCATCATTCAGATTGTCGTTAGAAGGAAGATGGAGAGAGGATCTTTTCCTCGCCCGGAGTATCCAGGGGAGATGTCTCCTAGTACCTCGGCATTCTGCTTCCCCCCTTGGGGGTGTAATGATAGTCTTCATTTGCAAGCTCTCCTGCCTCTTGCGTGGTCCCTTTGACCTCACCTGTGGAGACGATGTCGCCCTCCTGTCATTTTCTCCCGGCCCCAGGAGGATGAGGCTGTCGGCCCTGATTAAGTGTGACTGGACTTATTAGTGCATCAGTGCGTGGAGTGTGGGTGATTAACAGGAGCTGTAGGAATCTCCCCGTTATCTTCACGGGGCAGCTCCTTGAAATCATTTGCCTGTAATGATAGCTCAGTTGGTTTGTTGAGGAGAAATTACTTCCTCCTGTAATGCTGTCACCACCAGATTAGGGGCCACAGCTGAGAAGTTTCACTGTCCTTGAGCACTTGCAATGGATTTTGAATGACGATGACAGTCCCGTGTTAAAGAATAGGCTGCTTGCCTGGCCAGGTTGAGGGTATGCAGGAGAGACGGCTCCTAACCTCAGGGAAAGAGCCCATCTTTGTATTTTAAATGTTGGAGCCAGATGGAGTGGGGAAGTCAAACTACAGAAATCACAGGTCTCAGAACTCATCTGGTCCAAACCTCCCCTGTTGATGGATGAGGAAATCGGGATCTGGAAAGGTGGACTTACTCGCTCCTGGTCACCTTGGTGGTTACTGGCAATCCCGAGGTTAACACCCAGCCCTCTTTTCTCTACGGCAGCCTGGTTCATGCACTAGCAGAGTACAAGGAAGAACCCAACAGCCTCCTGGAAATGTTAAGATCCCCTGTCTCCTGTCAATGTTGAAAGTCCTACCCACTTTGAAACAAAACTTTCCCCATAGCGAGCAATATTCTAGAGTCCAAGGCATTGCCTCAGTCAAATTCCAGGATCAAGGCTATTACATAATGTGTTGGACGGTAACTGAACCCATCTCTCAGAGCCTTAGTACCGTTGGATCTTCCTCTATATAGAAGTCCAGATACATTTCCTGGCTTCAGCGTTGTGAATTCCATACATTGCAGGCATTTGATAAGATAGAAGCTTAAATCTTTTACTATGGTTCAAATACACACACACAGAAGCACATTAGAGAAACACGGCCTTCAGTTCTATTTTTTGTTGAGACTGTGGTGGTTCGGGTCAAGGAAAGGGCGCTGTGCTTTATTGCTGTCATAGATGAGAAGACTTAGAAACCCGGGAACTGTCCTGGAGCTGACTTCTGGGGCTTCTGCCCCCTGGAATTCAGAAGCGCGCGGCACACGGAGCTCCCGCTGGGGTTGAGGAACAGTGGATGAGAACAGAGAAGCGAGAGCTGGTAGACGAATAAGGAGCCTTCCTTGTAGGAAGCATGCCTCACTTCTCTTTCTCTTCTTACTGTTGCCATTGCCGTCTCCGTCTCCACCTTGCGTTCTGCTCGTTATCTGAAGACTCCTCCCTCCACCTCCCGGAATTGTGAAATACAGCTTCTTCCAGGACAGCGGACTTCGGAACAGCGCCCATGGCGATTTATGAAGTCAGCTGCAGAAGGAGACGAATAGTTACCATTCTGCCCGTGTACGTAATGCTCGGAAGATTCCCGACGTTCACGGGGCCAGCCGACAACGAGGTCGCTGAAAAGGAGAACAGCAGATAGAATCATGACTGGCTGGACTTTTCCGCCGGAACAGTGAAGGACGGGGATCAACCTTTAGATCGCTGTCTTCCTAAAGCTGCTGTGCAGGCGTGCCACCAAGGAGTCTCCCACTCTCGCTGGGGGCAAGGTGTTCACTCGTGATCGCCGGTGCAATATACCAGAAACCAGCACGTGCCCAGCGTGTGCTCAGCAGCCACAGTAGACACGCTCTAGGGCAGCTCTTGGTTGCATCTTGACATCTGTGCTGCGTTGAGGGATGGCCTGTGGGTGAGCAGGAAGGGAACTTTGCCAGCATGAATAAGTAGATGGTTTAAAGAGGCATTTCTTAGCGTCGTGAGGGTAAGTGGACTAAAGTCCTGACACTGCTTCCTTTCCAGGCCTGTTTCACAAAATTGCCTATAATCGGCACTCTCCTGAGCGGCCGCGCTCCCCGTCTGCGGCTGAGAGCCACTCTGAGGTTAGCTACTCCTTCCCCGCTTTGAAAACATCAAAGCAACTACATTCAGCCTCATCTAGACAGCACAAAGCCCACAGATGCTTCAGGGCTGCTGATGGAGAACGGCTTCTGGGCAGGAAGACTTGATCCACGTGGCCACGTACTCCAGGGGCTTTTGTGAAACTAGACTGGATTTGTACTGCAATAATACAGTAACGTGACGCTATTGAAAAATCTAGTAAATTCCAGGGAATGGCCAGATCCCAGAGCTGGACAAGGCTGCCTTCCCCACATGCCACCTGTTGGCTCTGCTTTGTACCTGGCTCTCCTCACATCTTTAAAACTCCACTTTGATTTCCAAAGGCCTGTTGGTGCTCATGAGACATGAGCCTCATGACCCCTGGGGACCCATGAAGAGTGTTCTTTTGACCACTGCTTTCAGGGAGACTTCTCCCTCGTGTGGCTTATTAACTAGTAAACCTTAGCACGTGAGAATCCTACATTCCAGGGTGGCAGGCAGAACCCGTTTTCTCGCTTACGAGGCCGGAATGCCCAGTCCCCGAGTGGGGCAGGCCCGGCAGACCGGAGCCAGCCTAGCTGAGCAGACAGCGGACGGCCCCGGCAGTGGGGGGGGACAGCCCCACCAGGTGCAGGTTTGGGTGATTTCCCCCAACAAGGTCCTTACACAGGAACCTACTAAATGTAGACTTTTCACTGGTGAAAGGAGGCAGCCTGAAAGGTCATGGGGGGCACCTGACCTCACACAGCCATTTCTGAGAATTCGGAGCCATCCAGCCTCTTCTACCTGCTACAGTTGTGAGTGGGGAGGCCAGGTGTTTTCTGCATTTACAGCCATGCTGTAAAGCGGGTAGCAGGGTAGCTTGGTTCCAAGTTCAAGTTCAGAGGGCTCTCCATGGGACATGCTACCATAGTGTCCTTTGAGTGTGAATGAAAATATAACCTACATCAGAGCAGAGTGGAACACACACTGAAGGGAAACCTTTTGACAGTGAATACACAAATCTAGAACTCGAATCCAGCAATTTCCTCGTGGTGGAAACCACCAGAGCGTCTCCCATCAGAGATCACCAGGCCCGTGGGTTCTCTGTCATGAGCTGGCCTGGGAGAGAGGGTGGTCTGGCCTTTTCGGTGCTCGCGTACGTACGGAAGAGGCAATCCCCTTAATATCTTTATGTTTCTGTTGTTGGTATAAGTAAGCCCAGCCTTTCCTATTTATTTTCTGTCTTCCCTGCCTTTTGGCACAAAAACCTGAACTCGCTCGTTCAGTTGATGCCACGAAGGTGAATGCGGCACAGCCGCCATGAAGGGCGGAGAGTAAGGAAATGGGAGCCTGCAGCAAGGAGGCAGGACGCCGTTTCCATCGCGGGGCCGGCAGGACCAGCCACCCTAACATCTGCATTTCCTGCCTCTTCAGGGAATCAGAGGTGAGGGTCAGCTGCTTCTGCCAGGAAGTGCACGAACACGTAAAAACGTGAAGCATGAAGCGTGTAAATACTGAGCGTTCAAAACCAGCCCACTTCCTTCCGACGGTTTTGGGTTTATCAATGGTTGGTTGAAACTGCTAGGTATGTTCCACACGTTCGTCCTCAATAAAGGTGAGCGAGATGGCCTTCTTTAGGTGTCCGCCCTGAGTATGTTCCATTGTCCAGCTTGTGACGCCTGAGAAACACAGGTCCCCTGAGAAGTCATCTCCTGGATTTAAATCTGAGTGCTCCCTTTCAAAGAGAAGATTAGCAATCCTGTCTCTGTCCCTTGTCCAGTCCTATAGATTTGGGGACACTTGTTCGAAGACCCTTCAACTCTTAACATATCTTTTGGTTTTTAATGTTTAATTATTTTTGAGAGAGAGCGTGCGAGTGGGGGAGGTGCAGAGAAAGAGGGGACCGAGGATACGAAGCAGGCTCTGCGCTGACAGCAGAGAGCCCGACGGGGGGCTCCAACTCACCAACCCTGAGAGCGTGACCTGAGCCAAAGTCGGATGCTCCACCAATTGAGCCGCCCGCGTGCCCCTCGGCTGATAGCATCATCTTAAAAGCTAGTTAAGAAAAGTGTCCATGGCTCACAGGGATGGTGGCTTATAATGTGTCCTCCCTCGGAGAACCTGAGAGTTTATAGCAACAGGCGCTGTAGTGAATATGGGACATCACTAGGGAGACACGGCCAATCTGGAGTCAGAGCATCGGAAGTGTGACTAATCTCAGCTGTGGGCATGGGGTGATGGCCACAGTTAAATAAACTGTCTGTGGGGGCGGGGTGCTCGGGGACCCCTGGGGGCAAGGAGCAGTGAGCTGAGCTCCCCCAGACTGTGCCCTTAAACGCTACCTAGCTCACCCCGGACCCAGTCTTGGGAAGAAAACGAAAGCTGATGGATTCTTCAGGCAGTCAGCTCTCCAGGCCCAGAGAATCTTGCATGTGGATCTTCCTCAGAGCCTGTGTAGGTCGCTTCAGACCATAGAACAGGCTTCCTTGCCCTGTCTCCTCTCCAAGTTCAGCAGTGGAGTACCAGGAGCCAGGGTCAAGTTCGATGCTTGGGCTGTTAAAAGATATGGCTAAGTAGCTCCTCAACGCCCCCCCACCCCAACCTCTGCCCTGAGGGAGGAAGGAAGGAAGGAGGGAGGGAGGGAAGGGGGGAAGGGGGGAAGAAAAAGGGAAGGGAGGGAGGGAAGGAAAAGAGGGTGGGAGGGAGGGAAGGAAGGAAAGGAAAGAAGGAAAGGAGAGAGAAGTAGCCCCAAACAGACCCAAGTGAACCATGCATTTAGAGCAAGACTGGGAAGGCTTACTGGGGTTACGCTTGCGGCCGGTGGTGTTCCAGGGGCACTTGGACTCCGTGTTCGCTGGCTTAGCTGCTTAGACAGTGGCTTCCCAGTCCTGGGTCTGCAGCAGCAGCAGGCAGACCAGCCATTTCCAGCAGGAGAAAACTGAGTTTCTTGTCCCGTAGCAATCCCATCAAACATTTGAGTTGTGGTTGGCAGAGGATTCTGGAGCGTGGCAACCACTTTTGTTAAAGTCGGAAGGAGGACGGGGGCCGGTGTGGGCTGCCCTTCCAGCTGACTGGCTCCAGACTGGCGAGGTCCCACTTTCTGGGCCATTGCAGGAAGGAAAACGTCGTCACACCCTCCTTTGTGGGCATGTGCACATCAGAGCCGCCTTAGGGTTTTCCGTCTCCTTCCTTTGCTGGCTTCGTGGGTTCCCATCCGCACAACCCCCGGCACGTCCCCCTCCCCCTCCCCGGGCCCTCCCCGTGTCCTTGTAGAGAGTCCCCACGCCCTTCACCGGCTCTTTCCCTCTCTCCCTTCAGAGCCAAGCCATGCGAATCGTGCGGACTGTCGGGCAAGCCTTCGAGGTCTGCCACAAGCTGAGCCTCCAGCACACGCACCAGAACGCAGACGGCCAGGAAGACGGCGACGGCGAGAGGGACAGCAGCAGCTCGGGGGACCCAGGTGGGCAGCTGGCCAGGGTGCTGCAGTGGGCGCGGGCAGCCGTGCAGGAGGGCAGCGGCGCAGGACAGCGCATCCCTTCCCCGAGCCCTAGACCGCCAGTCCACTGAAAAAACACTTTTATTCTTTTTCTCCTTCTCTCTGGATTCTCAATTTTCTTTAAGGAATGTGTGTGGCTCTTATAATAGACGATTAAGGATGCTTATCGAACAAGGACGCATTTAAGCTGCTTTATGCTACCAAATCCAACTCCAAAGAAAATTACAGTACAAAAGCACCTTCGTAAAACAAATTAGAAAGAAGATAAAGTTATAATTAACTTAATGGCTTAAAAAAATTTTTTTTAATGTTTGTTTTTGAGAGAGAGAGAGAGACAGAGTGCAAGCCAGGAAGGGGCAGAGAGAGAGGGAGACACAGAATCTGAAGCAGCTCCAGGCTCCAAGCTGTCAGCACAGAGCCCGACCCGGGGCTCGAACCCACGAACCATGAGATCATGACCTGAGCTAAAGTAGGCCGCTTAACCGACTGAGCCCCCAGGCGCCCCCAGTCTCTCTCGTTTTGAAATGTCACAGTTGTTTCTGTCATATTGATCGTCTCACAGTCAGTGTGGGGGAAATTACAAGCATCAGGAGAGAGCAGAGGAAAACTCAGTATTGTGTATATTAACTTACGTGGAAAACCCAAGGAAAGAAACTAATCACTATTAGAGACGGGAGAATTCGTTTAAGGAGGTGAGGTCTGGTAGTACCACAGTTAACTCAGGGTTGTTAGTTTTTTTCCAGCAACGGCCGCTTGGAAGTCTCCGCGGAAGAAAAAATTCATTGGAATAACAATTTAAAAAGATAAAATACCTATGAAGGATTGTAGTAAAATGTCTATGTTTTACATGAGGAAAGTTGTAAGCAGGTAGAAAGTTCTGCGTTGAAAAACCTGAACCATCTTTTTTATTTAAAAAAAAAAAAAAGCAAATTCTCCTGTAAATCTCTCAATTTAACAGAACAGTATACAGATTTCTGATGGCAAAAGGGACACATCAGAAAGCTATCGTTTTCAAAACTTGCAGGATACAGATAAGGCCATGTTCAGAGGAACATCCAAAGGTTCAACTATTTATGTAGATAGATAATCAATCATGAAAATCAAATTAGTTAAGCATCCCATTCAGGACGCTGCAAACTGCTTGAGAGCAGACCATTGAATTTCATTCCAGCGGCACATGTCCCTGGCTGTGTGATTTGGGGCAAGTTCATAACCTCTCTGGGCCTTTGTTTCCTCTTTGGAAGAAAATAGGAATAATAGTAGAGCGATAACTCATAGAGTTATTGGGACAATTAGGTGAGAAGATAGGTGAAAAATGCCGAGTCTGGTGTTTAGCCCATAGTGAACATCAGATACGTGTGAGCTATTATCATTTTAATGTGAATACGGAAAAATTAAAAAGGCAAGAATAGAAACATTTCTGGAAAGGATGAGCTGTGACAGACGAGTGGCTTTGCAGACATGAAAACATAAAGCTCTAATAGGCAAACTACTGATGCAGGCATGCGGCCCTGACTGGATCAGAACAGAAGCTTCAGACATAGACCCAGACACACATGCTAATACGGGGCACAGAGAACTAGAAGCCCCACGGAGAAAAATACAGAAATCATTAAATTTAAAAATCCATGTGCCTTTGACCCCCAGATTCTCCTCTAAGAATTTATCATAAGGATAAACCCATACATGCACATGTAAAGTTACAGAAGCAAAGAATTGGAAATAGCATGAGGGGATTTTCAAATAGCAGAATATTACACAGTCCTTACAAAAGAATGAGTCTGCTCTCAGGATGCCTGGGGGTGGCTCCATCGGTTAAGCGTCCGACTTCGGCTCAGGCCATGATCTTACGGTTCGTGAGTTCAAGCCCCATGTTGGGCTCTGTGCTGACAGCTCAGAGCCTGGAACCTGCTCCGGATTCTGTGTCTCCCTCTCTCTCTTTGCCCCTCCCCTGCTTGTGCTCTGTCTGTCTCTGTCTCTCTCTCTTAAAACTAAACACACGTTTAAAAAATTTTTTTAAAAAAAGGATGAGTCTGCTCTCTATGAAATGATACAAAGTCTATCTGAGATGCTTTGTTGAGTTTTTAAAAACTTTTTCTTTTTTTAAATTTTTTAATAGTTTTTATTTATTTTTTGAGATAGAGAGAGACAGAGCCTGAGCAGGGGAGAGTCAGAGAGAGAGGGAGACACAGCATCTGAAACAGGCTCCAGGCTCTGAGCTGTCAGCACAGAGCCCGACGTGGGGCTCAAACCCACGAACCGTGAGATCATGACCTGAGCCAAAGTCAGACGCTTAACTGACTGAGCCACCCAAGCTCCCCTGTTGAGTTTTTTTTTTTAAACAGGGTTTAAAACCTCGGTCGTGGCATGCTACCAACTGTATAAAAAGACTGATGTGTAAATGTGTGTGTTCCATGCAAAGAACATCTCCAGAGTGATACACAAGACACTGGTGACTGTGGTTCGCTCAGGGACAGGGAACTGGGTGGCCGGGGGGTGGGGACAGATTTGCTTCCTCGGTGCCCCAGGCCTGGGGCGGACCGCGCCGCGCGGAGAGCAGAAACCCATGTACTAGGGCATCTGTCGTCAGAGCGGTTCACCGGGGAAGAGGCGCCCGTCTTTGGTGACGTCCTGCACCCCTGCTGGTGGACAGTTGTAACTAACTCTCGGAAGCTTTCGAACCCACTGGTAGCCCGTACGCGCCTACGCAAAGAAACTCTAACCAAAAGGGACAGGCCAGGGGCTCTGGTGAAGGCTGGGTGTGACGGGGTCGGAGCCAGAGTGGAGCGTCTGCACGCTGTTGGTGGCTCACAGCCCCCGTCTGGGGAGCTGGATCTCATCTCCAGAAGCCTCTGCTCACGGCCTGACAAGAGGGTCAGGCTGGGACAGGCCGGCCTTTTGGAGAGAAGAGCTGCTGGGTTTCGCCAAGACCCCTGAGCCCCTCTCTCCTCCCTCCTGCAGCCCTTGCAGGGTCTGCTGGGTGGGGTGGGCTGTCGTTTCCTGTACAGAGCTCCTCCCGTCCCTGTCTGAGTGCGTCCTGTGCCTTCATTGTCGGTGGTCTCTGCGTCACTGCCAGGCAGGAGTCCTACCCAGGCTTCGCATCCTGTCTTCTGGGCCGCGCGCCTCCCAGCTCCTGTTGCCCATTGCCTTCCATCCCCTTCCAGAAAACGTAGACCCTTTTCTCTCTGGGTTCCTCTGTTCATCCAGGCGATGCTGTTAGCACTAGCACTTAGCCCCTGTCGCCCGAACAGCTAGTGCCCTCTGTCATTCGTGGGCGGGGAGGGACCATCCCTGGCGCACAGTCCTCCTGGAGCAAATGTGTAGATGCAACTGGCGAGTGTGGTCGGCGAGCGCCTGCGTCTTAGTGCTCGCAGCCACGGTGTTCACTGCTGACTCTGTGCCCAGTTGAACATGGACTTCATGCAGAGATGCCAGCAGGGAGTTCCCTGGATGAGGCGTGAGGGCCGCCGGGGCAAAAACAGGTGGAATTACAGGGGTGGGGCTTGGCGGTGAGACTGGCAGGCGGTGCAGAGAGCTCATGACCCTGACGGTGACGAGGGCTGTGGATCGAGACCAATGTGGCCGCACTCTTCCAGCCTCGGCAGATGGTCAGCATGGAGAGAACAGGCCCGGGGCACCCGGGTGGCTCAGTGAGTTGGGTCCAGCTCTTGATCTCAGAATCAGGTCATGATCTTGCGGTCCTTGAGTTCAAGCCCCGCCTCGGGCTCTGTGCTAACGGTGCAGAGCCTGCTTGGGATTCTGCCTCTCCTTCTCTCAGCCCTCCCCTGCTTGTGCTCTCTCTCTCTCAAAGTAAATAAATAAACTAAAAGAAAAATTAAGAATGAAGCCACTAGCCATGCCACCTCTCCTTTTATTACCTTTTTAAGAGGTGATAATTTTCTCAAATAATATTAATATAGACGAGACCTCAGCTACTTGACTGCTTCTACATCCCACTCTCTCTAGGGCGTGGCATAAATGTCAGTGATGCTTTACATGTAGAAACATCTGGTCTAATATAGTGTCTTTGAAGTATAAGACGTCAAAGTGCTGAGTGTATCTTTAAGGAAGTAGCATGGATTGGATACGCTGTCTGTATAACCTGTGGGCATCCCTGCAGAGTCGGGGAAGGGACAAGGGCTCCCCCCTCCTTGTGTAAATGAGGATATGGCCCTGCAGAGTGATGTAAACTGTATTAGGGAAATACACGTATACATCGTCGATTTTAAGGAATTGGCTCATGAGGTTGTGGAGGTGTACCAGGCCCAAAGTCTGTAGGGCAGGCTGGAGACCCAGGGGACAGTCGCAGGTCCGAGTCTAAACGTGATCTCCTGGCAGCATTCCGTCTTTGTTCTAGTAAGGCCTTCAACTGATTGGTTGAGGCCCACCTACATGGTGGTGGGTACTCTGCTTTACTCAAAGCCTCCTGATTTAAACGTTCATCGCATCTGAACAATACCTTCCCAACAACGTCTAGGATAATGTTTGGTCAAATATCTGGGCCCTGTGACCTGGGCAAGTGGACACACAAAATTAAGCATCGCAGAAATGAAGAGGCAGTGTTTGTAGTGGGGAGGGGGGCTGGGCCAGCAGACGAGAGGAGGCCCCGAGGGCCAGGGTCCTGGCACCTGCATGACTGGGCTTGAATCCTGACTCTGCCGCCTCTCAGCTGGCGGGGGGGGGGGGGGTCCTCAACAGAGCCCCTGGCCCCTCTGGATCTTTCTTTCCTAATCTGCAAGTGTTGTGAGATAATGCACATAAGCCAGCATCAGGCCTGCGTAGACAGTTGCTGAGGACAAGCTGGGTTTGAACTGCCCTGGCCCACATACGTGTGGACTTTTACAGTTAATATCGTGCAATATTGTATATGTCTTTCCTCCTCCTTTTGATTTTCTCAGTAACATTTCCTTTCCTCTAGTTTCCTTTCTTCTAAGAATATTGTGTATTGGGGCACGTGGGTGGCT